CCAGGGCAGGGGCTGAGTCCCCATCCCTGGAGGGAATGAAAAGCCGGGGAGATGTGGTGCCTGGGGACATGGTTTAGTGGCGGCCGTGGCAGCGCTGGGTTAACGGTTGGACTCGAGGGTCTCAAAGCTCTTTTCCAACCAGAAACGACGCTGTGACTCCCTGACAGGCGGTGGGCTTTCGAATCGGTGCCTGACACCCTTGGGCCACCGCCAGGACCTGCCCCACGGCGAGGCGTGCGCCGTGCCTGGGGAGCGACAGGCCGGCCACACCGCTCTGAACAGCCGGGCCCTCAGAAAGCCCCCACACCCCGCAGAACCTGAACTTGAGAGCTCGAGGGGTCCTGGCTCAGCGGGACCTTCAGGAAAGGAGCTGGCACGGGGAGGTACAGGCAGAGCAGGCAGGCAGAGGTGTGGGAGGGCAGGGCAGGGGCTCGGGGTGACGCCTCCTGCTTTGCCACCGGCTTGTTTCGGCACAGAAAAGTCGCTTCCCCTCTGTGCCTCAGTTTCCCCACCAGCAAGAGCAGAAACCCTGGAGCAGAGCTGGCCGAGGGCTGAAGCCCCACACTCACCACCCCCTCCAACGAGATCACTCCTTTCCCAAGCGGATCCCTCGCTGGGTGTGATCCCCCAGCCCCACTCCCAACCCAGCCAGCACCTGGACCGAAGGAGGAAATCTCTGGAAGGAGCCAGAGTGGCTTTTCCCAGGAAGCTTGACACCTAATCCACCCGTCTCCCCCCCCTGGGATTCCTCTCTTATTCCCTCAAAACTCCTCCGTAGCTTGGCAGGAGCGCAAGGAGAGCAGATGGCAGACGACACGGAGCCCGGCCCGCGCTCTGATGGCTGCCGGAACTTTAAGAAGCGCCAATTTAAAAGAAAAAGCCCCGCAGGGGGCTCGCGCGGCCCCTGGGCACCCATGTTTCTAAACTACGTGAGGAAAAGCACCAGAGGAGCTCCCAGCCCCCGGGAAAACCCCAACAGCCCCCCCCCCAAAATGTCACGGCGTGCAAGTG